AGCCTAGTTTGACAATGTTAAACTCAAGACATGCCTTTTAGTATCTCTATGAAACTCAGCCTACTATTCTGCAGATATCGTAGGTAATGTTAACTAATCAACTGTTGTTTACGTCTTGAACATTGTTCTGGCTTTCATCCAGTTATCAGCATAATTATGTCATCCTACAGTACATAATATTGTGCATGAGAACAAATATTACTTTTCAGAGTTTTTGGTCAGTGTTTGTTTCAGAGCATGCACAATATAGTAAGATAGGTAGTTTTTGCACAGAAATAACGAATTGTGTATGGATTATCTGCCATAAAAGCCTTACTTAAAAGATACTAACAAATCAAGGAAGACTTAGCTATAAATTGCGTAAACTTTTGAGGGACAGGTCTTAGAGCGCCTCTTAATGGATTTTAAAGAGAACGTGGTAGATTCCCAGACTATTATCCGCGGCTTGTAATCAACCTCTGCTGCAGAGGATTCAAAGCAAAATGTTTGAGTTTAATGGAAATCGACATACATAATTACATAATTTCATTGGTCAACATCAACGTTCTTCTACTTTTACAAGTTTCACGCATGTGAAGCCATTTAAATACCATTCTGTTGTCTGGCCGAAGGTCAACAATAAAGTATACACATTTTCATGCAACATTCAGAGGAAACTGATAACAACAGTGAAGTGTATGATATAGATCTTCTAAGGTCGTTGAGAAGAGCAAGAACTTTCTTCTACTCTACGCTTTCCTCTCTCTTTCCAAGAGGGATCTCCTTGATATTATGGCTGCAAAATGACTATTGCAGGAATGGAAAAAATAGATATAAGATTGCAAGATTCGACTAATAGCTACGTAGTTAATAACATAAATAAGCCTGCCTCTTTTTTTCAACTGGGTTGACTGATTTTGTTGGTCGATCAGGGTGTTCGCGGATAAGCGTATGTGCTTGTTTATACATCTTAAAGAAACATGAACGAAGAAGCCATTTTAGAATAATTTGAAACCTTAACCTCTTCCAGATTATTAGCGTTGATGCCGTTGGCGATAAAGCAAGAAAACTGTTTTCTGTATGCGTTCTTATCCTCCTTTTCCAAAAATTGCATGTATTCGGCAACATGCTTTCCGAAGATGCGATCGCGGTGGGCCTCAGCATCGTACTTCTCAGCAATGGGATCGTAGCCGAAAAATCGCTTTTTGCTGCAAAAGTATACGTTTGACACACATGGTACTGAGCATCAAATATTGGGAACAAACCAGAACTAAAGACTTCTAGACAATTCATGATAATTTTTAAAAAGCAGATAACCTGTGCGGAACTTTGATTCCACCGTCAGTAACTCCCTTCATTACTGCAAAAATTTTGCAGCCAGTAGTAACACGTGCTAAACCAACGTCAAGTGCTGCCTTGAAAGGAGAACGACCGCTCTCCTTTTCAGCATTGTAAAACTCTCCTTTGACCTGTAGTTTGCGTTTACAAAAGTACTGGAAGGAAATTGAATTTAATCGCCTACTTCTTCCTTGCCCTTGAAAATCTTATCTAAGAGCAGATTTTTCAAATGGCGGCGAGCGAGTAGAAGGCCCGTGGCGTAAGCGGCTGCATAGTTGGTCAAACCAACCTAACCAATACAAAGATGAGTCAGACATATTTTCTGCTTTGATT